GCTGACCCTGGCAGTGATGAAGGTCGAGTGAGGAGTGGTTCCAAAACGTCACGATCTTTGGCAAACAAAGAAGCGTGGAGATACGACTGCGTGCAATTACACCGAGGGACGGAGAGAGGAGCACTTGGATGAGAGAATTTACGCAGGTTAAAGACGTAATTCAAACTTGTTTAAAAAAAAAGGTAAGTTGGTTTGGGGCTGGGACGCGTCACTCCTGGAAGGGATGATGATGACTGACGGTCATTAATGGTGCCGGAGTGGCAGGGCCAAAGGGATGCAACGTGGCTCCGAGAGAGGACGTCCTGAGGCGAGATGGAACGTCGAAATCAGCTCCGTTGCAGGTGCGAGGCGGTTTGTTACCTCGCAAGCACCGTGAGAGACGGTAAGAGCTTGTGGAGACCTTCATCTAGCGGTGGATAGATCATGGCCGGTGACGAATATGATGAGGCGGATGCACTGGATTGCCTATCGTAACATGCCAATGTGGACACGTGTGGAATTTGCAGTTTTCCAGACCGCATTTGGCCCCCACATACAAGGATAACAAAAGACAAATCACAATTGACCTTGAGCCTGCCGTCAAGAACCACTCGAAGGCACCTTTCAATAATCCGCGTGACCGTGCACCATCATCCCGCACTAAAATCTTCACCTTGCTGTAATCAACTATTTTACCATACTTCCTCTTCTCATAGGCGGAACGGTGAGCTTCGTGCACCATCGCAACGAAAATAATAATCATGCAACATGTAACCAGGCGTTCTTACTCCACACGCTCTTCCCAACAAGCTGCACAAGTAAGCCTGTCCATCATACGCCGTCACATACCGCACGTGACTATTACTCCTGCAGAAAATTTATTACACATTCTCTCTTTTTTGGGAAGCCGTGCTTATTTGTACTCTCGTATTTCTTGAGAAAAGCTCGTGTTGGGAAGGCTGCCCTTTGTAGAAATGTGCATCTCTCAGCACTCAGGTCAGACAACACCTGCAGCCCGTCACAGCTCACACATTAGCAACCGTCGTTGGTCATGGTGAAATAACAATACACGGCATTACAAAAAAAAACCCTACATTTTGTGCAGTAGTGGGGAAGTTTGGCTCGTTGGTGGAATTAACAAAGCTATTTTTTGGGGGGTAAATTATTAATTCAGCCATATATCTAGGGTACACCCAATGGATTCAATCATTGCGATACACCCTCACGGTTCTGGGCACCCCACGCGGTGTTGGTGTTGGCAAACATGGGGAAACTACTGGGATCGTTGAATTGTTGCTGAAATGTCTCCACAGCCCCCTATAATTGGGAGAATTGCAATACTACACTAGTACTCATATTACAGCGTCGTAGCGAATTGCAATACTGTATTAATAAAAACGTTATTAATAGGAGAACAATATGTACACTAATGTTTGATCATTGTATAATTACAAGCCATGTACCTTACACCTGGGGCAGGATCAATCATAGGATTCAACTTTCGGGAGGGCGCAAAGTCAATTTAAAACGGGAGGAGCAACATCCCAAATAATGAGCTTTGATCCTGCGGATACACACTTGGGATGTAATCGTAAACATTTCAACCCACGACACACTACGGGAGTCGATTGAAGAATATTTCACGAATGGTGAAAGAGAAAGGGACGGATAAGGAAGGGATTCCGGGATGAAAGTTCCCCACAAACGAAGAAGGCACGGCTCAAGATGAGCAGCACCTGGAAAAAAGGAGGAGGAGGAACGCCAGTGCAGGAAGGGGAGGAGAAGGGGGAGAAGAAATGGCCAGGCCGAGATGTCGGGGATGAGAGGATGGTGATGATCGTGAGGGGTGAGGGAGAAAGAAGGAAGGAGCGAGCATGAGTGAGCTGGACGGAGGAGCAGCGTCTGTTTTCAAAGGGGGCGGGGAGAAGGGAGACATTCCGAGTTGGGGTGGCCACACACAAGTCACGTGCACACTGAGGCTGTAATCTTGTAGATGCACCTTTGGGCCCTAAACTTGTAGAAATGTACCGATTTGGATGTGTTTGTTCTATGGGCTCTCCGGCATACGATTGAAGATTGAAGATTTGTTCAACGACCAAAAACAACTTGAAAGTACGGTCAAGCAAGCGTGTCATGATGGTACTCAAATGGCATCACTCAGACACGATGTAAAATGCCCAACATGCAGTGACGGCACCCACCATCGCACGAACCCCAGTCATCATCGCTGCAGCTGCTTTTGTCTGGCCATCCAACTTTCGACATTCAGTGCATTGCGCGCTTTCAGATGCGCTTCTACGCCTGTCTGGAACGCTCCTCCTGCCGATATTAGGAAGCCACTAAAGCTACGGACGTTCAAATCTACATTGAAAGCTCATTTCTTGAGAACTGCATTTTGTGTTTAGTTTGTTGTCCTTCCCCCGCACCTCCGATGAGCACAGTTGGCGACGTACGGTGCGAAAGAAGTTCAACGTACAGTCCACAGGGCCAATGCGGCCACCGCCAATCTCACACCACGGCTCGCATAGCAACGCCACTGGCCGCTGCCATCACCTGCCCGTAGCTGATTCAGGTATCCACCAGGAGGCGACCCCTTCAAGCCGTCCCACGGGCTCACTCACCAACCGGCACGTGGCGCTGTGTAGACGTTTACTGGCCAACGCCTCCGTGCCACGGACACACGAGCAGTGCTTGTCACCCTTGCAGCCCTGAGCGTCATTCTCAAGTTGGTCTTTTTGTTTTTCTCCAAATTTAAAAAAACAACAACAACAACAAAAGCATCACAACCGTGTCGGCTGGGCGCTGATATATGCCCGGCCTTTGGTATTGAGAGTCGTCCGCACAAAATTAGGGGCTCCAGTAGAACGTCGCGGACTTCAGCATTAGGCGCATGCGTAAAAGAAAAACAACAGACGTGAGAACGACTCTAGGCCAGGGCAGCCACACACACACACACTAACCGTGCACGACATAGATAGCTCGGCGGCCAATAAATCGCGCGACTGCGTTTTAACGTGGGGGACAACGCTCGACTCTGCTTTACCCGTGAGCGAATGCGCGCGAGAAGAAGAGAGGACAGGTGAATGACCGCGTGCTCAAACAAGGGCCACGTTTGTGAACGCCGTCAGAAACAATGACGGTCACACCGCGAACAAAAAAATACCGCTCCGGGTGTGGGTCTGGTCAGGCTTGTTTCGGGACGAATTATGCGGCGGTTCGGATGCATGCGAAGTCGTCGCAATGTTCGCGTAGGGATTTTGCGTTCCTCCAAGAGACTCCAGCAACGAGTGGCAGAGCATTCGTCCGCACTCCGTGCTACGTTCGACTTCTTTCGTGGCACGCACCAAAGCGCAGTGTTCACGGACAAAAAAATCCCCACCCCCCCCCCCACCACCAATGTCATTCTGCTGCCGGGATAATCGACGTGAACAATTGTCAACTCTTGACTTCAAACTTTCGTGACTGCAGGAATTCATATTCTATGGTTCTTTCGGTAAAGTCACGTAGATAGAGAAAAAAAAATGGCAATCAAATAATAAGTGATAAAGTACAAAAAAATTATCACGACGTTTCGATCGCAACGCGAGCGGTGTTGCAATCGAAACGTCGTGATATTAACAATAACATAATAAAAAATAAAGTGAAAACAAATATCACGACGTTTCGATCGCAACACAAGCGAAACGTCGTGATATTTGCCTTCACTTTATTCGTATTATTTTATTGTTATTTTTTTATCTATCTACGCGACTTTACCGAAAGCGCCACGGGATATAACTGTCAACTCGTGACGCACCCCCACCCCCCCCCCCCCAAATTATTTTTTTTAACTCTGCGGTCCTCTCTCATTTGAAGGTGTTGCTGGCTGTTTGGCGAGCGAGTGTTTCATTACATGGCGGAGGAAACCGGAGCACGTGGAGCAAACTGACGCGTGCGAGAAAGGAGGAGGGGGTTCAAAACATCCTCTCGTATAAAGAGTGAGCAGGGGGTGGGGGGGGGAGTCCTACATTTGCTCTACCGCCGTCTCCTGGTGCGCCAGGGTACGGGCACCTCCGCGCCACCTAACTGGGAAGGGAGCTTCACAGCCCATCCGTGCGGTGCTCCTCCAACCCTCGCTGCTGCATCCACAGTGCTGGATTAAAGCCAGCCACGTGGAGCAAGCACCACTGAGGTCGCAGGCTCCGCACTCTCACGATCCTAGATGGGCACGCCTCGGCAACGTGTTCATTCACGTCTCACGGTACTGTGTTTGGTGGTCGTGTTTACCGGTGAACATCTGGTGGTTCTACTTCATAGCTCATCGGATTCCTCCAGTATAAATACATAATCCGATTCTGGTTCGTACCTCCGCGTTGAGAAGGTAACAAATTCCACCTCGGGGTTTTTCCCAGCCTCAGATGATGCAGCTCGCAGCCGGATTTTAGTTGAGAATCCGGACGAGCAGTGGCTTCACCATCAGCACTAGCCGCCCCTTAGGTTCGTATCGAGGCCCACGGACTCACGTAGAGCCCCAATAAAAAGCAAACAAATCTGGAGCGCACTCGCTTTATCACCGGCGCTGTCTCCGCCAATGAATGGGCACCGTCAAGAACAGGAGAACTGACTTTGTGAGAGTTGTCATTATCACGACCGCACGTGGCCTTTGTGTTACAATGATCAATGAATTATCCCATCATGCACGTGTTGTCACCCGAGACTGGAAACCCCGAGGCGGGCGATAGAAGCCACCACCAGCCACCACTGCGAGTGAATTATCCAGGGCGGCCGTGTCGCTGTCAAGAACAATATACAATCATCGATAGAGTTATCAGTCGACGAGACATTCAACGATTGGCGCATCTTAAACTTCGACGAATGGTCACAACTTCAGGGGTCACATTTCGACTCCAGGATTGAACCCTTGCCTTGTATCTCGGTGGCGAATATCGGAAACACCCCACTCGTGGCTGCGGTCGTTCACGTGAACTAAATAACGTGCAAAGTATTCGAATTAAAAAAAATCGATCACCCACACTATGCTCTACGTGTATCGTGAGCAATATAATCCAGTTTAATCCAGTTTAATCGCCGGATCAATGCAGCGTTACACTCGGACTGCGGGTATGTTACCACACTCGAGTGATAAAGTGAAAAGAGTGAGGCACACACCTCCAGCGTTCATTCTGCTCCTCCTGTGTTTAGCACGCAGAAGGCTTTTGCGACAAATATCATCCATAATAGAGGTTCTTTGGGTTAGATACCGTAAATATAAATGCGTCTTTAAACCCGCCTCCATCCGACACAGCCAATTATTCAGGTCTGTCACGTAAATAGAACATGCCAATTCGTTACTAGTACAGCACACCGGTGTGTTGGAGAGCAAATACACAACATTTATCATCTGAGTCCGACGTTTCGCCAGTAATTACAACCGGCATCATTAGGCGGCAGCCAGGCACGTTCTGTTGTTGTGACAAACATTACTAATTGGCGGGTTTAACGACACATTTACGCGATCTAACCCAAAAACAAACCTATATTATGCCCCTGTGTTCTCTGCCGACAGTCTGACACCGGCAAACGTGCTATGTCGCCATGCCTTGGCAGCCAGGACATCCTATACGTTTCAAGGAATCTTGCATCCACAGCATCTCAACCACCGGGTTCAAGTGAAGATGCCTCTGAACTCCCAAATGAGAAGCATTATTAGCACACACGCCCCTGTATATTGCGAGAGAGCATAACACTAAATCCGCGACAACTACAACCGAGTATGCGTTATGTCATTGTCGGCTGAGCGTCATCCGTCCGGCCGCATGCACGCAATAATGGAAATGTCACCAATTATCAATAAAAGGGCTGAGCCTGCATTCTTACTTTACAATATCCCAAATCCCGATCGTTATCTTTCACTGTTATTAATTAGTGAACAATCATTGTGTACAGTACATATTATATATTGTGATGCTGTCGTTACAATTTTTCTTAAAGGTGATAAGTAGATTTTGCTTAGAGTAGATTAGGCTATTATTGTATTACACACAAGCAACTATTAGCTTGTAATGCCAGTATAAAATAATATATTTCTTATGAAACATGCTACGTGATTTTTTTTTTAGTAAAATGGCATAATTGGCATGCAGACTTTATACCCACAAATCAATTTATATCAACGCAATATCCCTATCAAACCCGCAACTGGTTTAATGAGGCATGAATATTCATAGGCCCACATTTAACAATAACAACCGTAGAGAAGACTCCAATTAATGATGAAATTTTTTTATATCAGTCCACTGATGGATGAAGGCCTCCCCACACACACACAATGTATTGGTCAATGGGGCTGTTTGACCATACTTCACCATGCTGCTCAAAGCAGGTTGGTGGTCAAGTGGAGGGAAGAGGGGGAGGGTAGGTAGCAGGGGGGGTCGGAGGTCACCCAGGACTCGCCACTGATGTCAGCCGTGGCCAGGAATCGAACTCGGGTTCCCGTGACTTGTTATGCAATGCGCCAACCAGGGCACCGCCGCTCCTCCCCAACGGGATGACACGGGTGCCGTGTGAATTACTCGCTTGGGCCTTTTCATCGCGAGGTCGTTTCACAGTTTTCGCTCGTGACGCGTAAACATCGGGGTGTCAGTCGAGGGGTAGAAGAACCAACAGCGCTGACACCCGTAGCGCCTAAAGCGTACAGCCACCCGGCCTGGAGGGAGGAAGCGATGTTATTCCTACGGCGCTCAGAGACTAACGGTCGCTCGTAAAAACCTAGTTGGGGGGGGGGAAATCACGCTTACGTGTGGATTCTGTAACGCTTTCCAACTGACGCATGTCTTCGGACGCAGTTTATCGCAGCCGCCGCGTGGAAGCTGACGGTGGCTGTCAGGGCAAGATTTGTTTACATATTTTGCAAATGGTCCTGTTTGCTCTGGTTTGTGTCCACCAACTTTTTTTGTTTGTTATTTAACTTTGGCTGGTTTGCCATGGCAACACAACGTTAAACTGCAGGTCGGTTCAAATTGGATACGGGCGTTACCGTGTCTCCCCGTTACGGACAAAACTGATGGACGAAGCTAATGCATGAACACTTTCAACCTGAGCTGGAGAGCGTTGTTAATACGTACGACTGCAAAACGCCTCAATCCGACATCCGCAATCACCCTGCTGCGACGTCGCAGAGCCATGCGACGGAAGCCCTGGGAGGGACGGAGCCACACGTTGGAAGATGATGGGGGTATGCGACTCGCATGAGTGTGTGTGTGCTGACTGTGAGTGTGTGTGCGTGCTGACTGTGTGTGTGTTGCCTTCGACACTTCACGTGGCCTCGGGGTGCACCTGGCCGAGCACAAACGCAATGGTAACGTCACCGCCACTTAGTTGCGAATGGCGGCTGTTGTTGTTGTTGTTGTGTTGACCGTATGTGTGAAATATCGCGTGGGTTTCTCGCTTGGCCATGACCACAAACGCAGCGGGCGCCTTACGGCCCTAACTACACATTTCTGGAGGTGTCCCTAAACCCACGACACCCGCAGCGGCCGCGCCCATTCATCCCACCGACATCGACTCGCCCGCCAGCCCGCCAGCCCGCCCCAACTACAGGCTGAGGTCGATGACGCGATGCTGGAAGATCTTGGTGCTGTCCGTGAAGCTGGAGGCGAACAGGAAGACGCCCTTGTCCATGGAGACGATGGTGAAGGCTCGCGGCGCCTGCACGTTGAGCGGTTGCAGCTTGGCGAAGGCGCCGGCCTCGGCGTCCCACAGGTAGACCTGCGAGAAGGCGAAGTCGCTGCCCAGCACCGCGTACTGCCGCGGGCCCACACTCAGCGGCTGCAGCACCATGGAGCCGCGCGACGGCAGCGCCTGCACCTCCGTGAAGCGGAGGCCGTCCCACTTCATCACCTGCGGGGGAAGGGGAGGGGGGGGCAGCGTCGCCGTCAGGTCGATCGTGGCCACGTCACGTGTTGATTTTTCAAGATACGCCGGTTGTCGCAGATAGCGGTTTACCGTGAGCGGAAGCTCTCCCCCCCCCCCCCCCCCCCCCCCCCCCCCAATGCAGCGCCTTGGAGCAGGCTCACCGTGATATTAATTTTTCAAGGTATACCGATTGTCGCGATAGCAGCTTACCACGAGCGGAAGCCCTCCACCCAAGCAGGGTCACCGTGATATTTATTTTCACGACATGACATTGATTTTTCAAGATATGCCGATCGTCGCGATAGCGGTTTCCCACAAGCAAAAGCCCTCCCGTTGTCCTGACCTTGGAGTCGGTTTTGCCGCAATTTTCCACAAAGGGTGATGATACGACGCGATACGTTCAAGTTCGCGACGTGACGACGCGCTCTCCGAACAGCGTTTGCCGGGTCGACCGAACCGCGCGTTGTCTGGCACGACGTCTGACGTTTCGCTCTCCACCCCCCGCCGCCCCCATCGCTGGGAGCCACCTCACCAGTAAAAACATTTTTTTCCCTATTCCAGAAAAATTTCACCCAGGGAAATAAATGAATAAATAATAAATTAAACCAGCAACGATGACCACGACGTGACAGTTTCTTGTTTTGCCAACCGGTTTGCGCGATCACCGTCGGGGGGCCTCACGTGGCGCCCCACGTTATGAGGTCACACTCATTACACACACAACGCTCGCGACAAACGAGCCACAACACCTCGCTGATCTCGTCAAGGAGCATGAACCATCATGCAAACTCCGGTCATCCTCACAGCGGCGGCTTTTGGCTCGCCGTCGAACGAAAACGGTCACCGCACTGCCGCGCGCTCAGATGCGCTTCTGAGGCCGTCCGGAATGCCCTTCCTACTGATTTTAGGAAGCCACTGGAGCTGTGCACTTTTAAATCTAGACTGAAAACTCATTTACTTAGAACCGCTTCTTGTTGCATTTAGTTTGTCGTCCTTTCCCCCGCACCTCCGATGAGCAACGGCTAACTTCGTACGGTGCGAAATAAGCTCGATGTACGTACACGAGTAACCGTACACGAGTAACCGTACGCGAGTAACTGTACACGAGTAACTGTACACGAGTAACCGTACGCGGGTAACCGTACACGAGTAACTGTACACGAGTAACCGTACACGAGTAACCGTACGCGAGTAACCGTACACGAGTAACCGTACACGGGTAACCGTACGCGGGTAACCGTACACGGGTAACCGTACGCGGGTAACCGTACGCGGGTAACCGTACGCGGGTAACCGTACGCGAGTAACCGTACACGAGTAACCGTACGCGAGTAACCGTACACGAGTAACCATACGCGAGTAACCGTACGCGGGTAACCGTACGCGGGTAACCGTACACGGGTAACCGTACACAAGTAACCGTACGCGAGTAACCGCACGCGGGTAACCGTACATGGGTAACCGTACATGGGTAACCATACACGAGTAACCGTAACGTTTCCGCTTTACCTTGGAGTCACCGATGAAGCGAGTCAGGCAGACGTAGAGATCGTCGCCCATGCTGAAGCTCTTCACGCCGATAACGTCCTCCGTCTCGGGGATGTCAGAGCGCGGGTTCTGGAGGAACTGCTTGGCCGCGAAGTCCCACTGGTAGATGACGGGAACCTGCGAGCTGCTGGCCAGGATGAGCATCGGCTTGCCGGCGATCTCCACAAACTCGGCGTCCGTGTCCCGGTACCAGTGGTGCAAGGACTGCAGCGAGTAGAATCCGTTGCCGTTCCACCTGCGGGGGAAGAGGGGGGGTGGCAGGGCGCGGGGATTGTGGGCAAGTCCGTGAGAATATTCGTATTGGTTGGCCAGGGGCATCGCGGGGCGGCGAGATGTTAACTACCTCGACTGGTATACAGGAGGTCGTGGGTTCAATCTCAATCCTGGAGTTTGCGTGTTCTCTCTCCCTGTGTTCATGTTGATTTTTGTCGGGGTTCTCCGGTTTTTCTCTCCACATTTAGAATCAACGTGCGTTAGAGTATTTGGTTGCTGCTCTAAATTTCCACGTGACGATAAGCCACTTCATTGAGCTATCATTTGTGGCCAGGTCACTTCGAGAAAAGAGCTGTATCACTCAGTGGGCCTTACATGGTAAAATAAAAAAATTCAGTTTAGGAAAATTCTACTCAGACTTTACCGTACACGCCCCCTTCAAAGCATCGTGAAAACACAGCACGGAGATTACCTGTACAGGGATCGTGTGGATGTTGAAATGTCCTTGCTTGCGGGGAAAAAAATGAATGAAGCGAGAGATGACGGTATTCTACACTCGTTAGCACTCTTTACACGCACGCGCCGGTTTCTATTTTCAGCCTCTCCTCCCTCGTGGCTCAGCGACCGATGGCGTTAATAAATAAATAATAAACCGCTGAACGCGACACGTTCTACGTCTTCACCCCGCCAAACCCCCTATTCGACGCACGTTATTAGGAAGCCACTGGAGCTTTAGACTTTAAATCTCAATTGAAAACTCATTTCTTTAGAGCTGCTTTAGCACGGTTGGCTACGTACGGCGCAAAAGAAGTTCTATACACACATACAAGCGATAAATACGTCTCATAGCCTATTTTAGACACGACTGGCATCATCCACGCATCCACGTTTCCTTATAATTCGGGTCACCCATTACTGCACCCCCCCGCCTTGCCCCCATCACCCTGGACAATCGACAGCTGACCGTATAAGTGTTTGGAGTTCGGGGGAACGTAAGTATGGCGATGCGCAGCACCTGTACAGGGTGGTCACTCCCGCTTTGGAGCTCTCCGCGATGACGGCGAAATGCTCCCCCTTGATGTCAAACGTCTCGACGTCGTTGGGTTTGCGGATCTTGTTGGTGTCGATGTCCTGGATCTTGATGAACTGGTGGGAGTGCTCATCCCGCTTGTAGATGTGCGAGCCTCCGAACAGCTGTGCCACGATCACGAAGATCTGCCCCTCGATCACGATCGGTTTGCAGCTGATGATCGACTGTCCTGCAGAGGGGGGAGAGAAACGATGGCGCCCGTGTTCGGTGAAACATTCACGTTGGACCACATCGTCATTAATATCGTCGTCGCCCGTGGTTGATTCAGCGGCGGACGAAGGCCGGCGAGCAGCGTCACGATCCACCCAGCACGTTCACCGATCTCATCGCTCCATCTCCGCGGTCGACGTCCTCCCGGATGCGTTCGCTTCCTTGGCTGGCACGCCGTCGTCAGTAAGAACTTTCGAATCACTATTATTGTACTTTAAATATGATAGGTAATTGATTAAATATGCTATATGTTGTCATAGCTGTAAAAGGTTGCATATCGGATCCTCGGTCAGGAACGTATCCCCCTATTGTATCATCGTTTCTCTGGGAAAGTCGGTCTCGACTTACGTCGTTTCGACTTACGTCACCGTTCCTAGGAACGTAACCAGACGTAGGTCCGAGGACCGCCTGTGCTGTAGCTGTCAATGTCTCTGCTTCCCCCCCCCCCCCCCCCCCCCCCACCTTCACCAACGCGCACTGACCAGCGTGCTGAAGTATGCTCAAACAATACCCTTATTACCGACACGGCGTGGGCAGACCTTCATCCAGCAGTGGATTGACACACGAATGACGGTTTTGAATTCCTGAACGCATTCCATGTGGTCGCGGCTCTGCACGCGGCCTGTAATCTAGCACGGTGGAGTCACAGAGTGTTGGTCAATTACACAAACGTGTTTGTGAAGCTGCCTTCCCGTGGGAGTCGAGGAGGTGCCGCACCCTGGCTCGCCGGGAGAAGGCAGTGCACCTGTTCGGTCTTGTACAGGATAGAGACGCGTTCTTCATTGCAAGGCCCACGGGGCCACTTGCAGCCCCTGGTGGCCTTGAGTGCGGCCCCTGACGTGCGGCCCCCCAACAATACACAACACGTGACAACACCCCATCGTCGTGCTGTCCTCACACCGATGTCTTATCGGTGAAAGTGGCCCCCCTCTGAAAATTAGTGAAAAACACTGGGATAGAGTGTTGTCCCCTCTCGCACTCGTGGTTTTTCTCTGGGTGCTTTGGTTTCCTCCCACATGTAAACACTCATTAATTGGCCGATAACGTCTTAATATATAGAGGTCCGCAGAGCTTGGGCAATTGTTGGTGCCGGCCCATCACGCCTCTGAGTCTTTCTGTCCCGACGAGAGTGAGTGACTATCGTGCGGCGGTGTGTTACAAGTTAAGTATCATCATCATAATTATTATAATTAAAGTGACGGGCACCAAGCGAGCAAAGCCGTAGTACCGGTGATGTTATCGAAGACTCGGAACACCCTCTCAACGTGGTCCCACTCCAGCACGGTGCAGTTCCCCACCAGGGGCTGAGCCACGACCACGTTCACCTCGCCCTTGTACGGGAACGTCTCCACAGACATGGACTGCATGGGCAAGGTCTGCCACAGCACGAACTCTGCACGCACAAAACGCACAAATGGCACGGACCCCCCACCAACCCCCTCGTGTAGCCTCAGCAGGGGCAAGTGATGTTAGCGAGCAGCTATAAACGAACAGCCATCGAACAAAGACGGTTACCGCATCGCGCGCTTTCAGATGCACTTCTGCGGCCGTCTGGAACGCTCTTCCTTCCGATCTTAGGAAGACACATTTCTTTAGAACTGCTTTTTGTGTTTAGTTTGTTGTCCTATTCCCGCACATGCGATAAGCACGGCTGGCTACGTACGGTGCGAAAGAAGTTCAACATGCATAGATTAAGGCCGGCATCAGCCACGAGGGGTACATAATGGCCAAAACCCCGCACACAATATCACACAACAATGGCAAACATCCCCTGTACAGCCTACAAAGGACATTGCGGAAAGTGCTGTTCGCGAACACCTATTGAGACCGGCATGGCACACGAGTGGGTTAGTGTGGCCATCACCACGCCCGGCCGACTTTGTCTCCTCAATGGTGATGTTTACACACCAGGTACTCATTTAAGCCCGAGTTAACTTGTTGCATCTAGCAATATGTCACACTGTTTAGGAAAAAGTCCCAGCAAAAAAAACACCACTTGAGGTCACTTTAAAAAGCCCTCTATGTCCATACGAGTGGCACAACTAATACCAGATATGCCCCCCTGCAAAACGTGTTCAGTGCATATCAATCAAACTGATTTAAGAGACTCGCTGTCCCACCCACATTGCATATTATGAGAGTAATGTTCGTCGCATGACAGTCAAAGCGATTATTCTTCGAGCTGGGTGAAGGCAAGCTTAGTGAAAAAAAAAAAATGTTGAATTATTTTTGTTCTGTGCAGGCATTCGATGACCCGGGCACAGACAACCCCGGCTCGTGCCGCACTCATCCCCGGTTTAATCGCGGGCGGTTTGAAAACCCCGATTTGTATCCGGCATCTCGGCCAGTGCCGGCTGAGTGCCCTGACCCGCGGGCGCTGCCCCGCGCCACCTCGAGGCTGGCCACCCGAGACGGTGCTGGGCCCTCGTCACGTACCAGCGAGTGCGGAAAATCGAACGGCGTCGGCTCCGACATGGTTGGTATCGCTCGGGGCAGGCACGAGCGGAGGGCCTTACGTTGAGAGGCGGGCGCGCGACGGCAAATTCACCGGCGCGCGAGGAGGAGACGTGCTTTGGTTAAGTCTGTGCCGCAGTGCGCAACGCCTCGCCGCGCTGTGGATTTACGTCGAGGGATCCGTGCCGCGTACTTTTTAATACATTTTTATTATTGGGTTTTTTTTTGTTCCGCCCAATTGGATTTTTACTGCTGGGCTGTACCACAGGCACCCAGAGCAGGCTGGGCGGGGTTAATCATCGACGATTCCCTCCACGTACACAAGAGCCGACTTTCACACGATAGGGAACAGCTCTGGAATTGAATACCATAATGCATGCTCCTATGATAAACCGTAGGGAAAGCCTGGTTTTTTTTTGTTCATCTGAGGTGATGTGGGGGGGTTGCTAGTTTGCGGACCCTGTTCCTGTGTTTATCCAAGCAAATCGCTCCTTTTAAATCCGGACCATAAAGCATGGATTAATGTGGATTGTAGGGAGAATTTACTGCCTCTTTCAGTAACTGGTCTGGATAACGCGATGAAACAAATGCCTGCGGTGACCACTTAATCAAGCTGCAGCGACGACAGCAGCAGCAGCATTGAGATGGGCATCATCATCGTCATCAGCAACAGCAGCAAGTCGTGACAAGATGATCATCATCACCATCATCATGATTGGTCCTCAACAGTCACAGCAAGAGCAACATAACAAGATGGTTTCCTCTGATCTTATCTACATTTATATGGCACATTAATCCAAGGTACTTCACGGCAATTGTAAAAATGATGAAAGTGGTTGAGACAAAGAGTGTGGTCATTATAACAAGTGGTGGTGTCATTATAACAAGTGGTGGTGTCATTATAACAAGTGGTGGTGTCATTATAACAAGTGGTGGTGTCATTATAACAAGTGGTGGTGTCATTATAACAAGTGGTGGTGTCATTATAACAAGTGGTGGTGTCATTATAACAAGTGGTGGTGTCATTATAACAAGTGGTGGTGTCATTATAACAAGTGGTGGTGTCATTATAACAAGTGGTGGTGTCATTATAACAAGTGGTGGTGTCATTATAACAAGTGGTGGTGTCATTATAACAAGTGGTGGTGTCATTATAACAAGTGGTGGTGTCATTATTACAAGTGGTGGTGTCATTATTACAAGTGGTGGTTTCACAGTTGAGAGAGCAGGGGGTAGAGGTGATGTAGAGGAGTTGGGGTAGTGATAGGGGATGGGGTAGTGATAGGGGTTGGGGTAGTGATAGGGGTTGGGGTGGTGATAGGGGCTGGGGTAGTGATAGGGGCTGGGGTAGTGATAGGGGTTGGGGTAGTGATAGGGGTTGGGGTAGTGATAGGGGCTGGGGTAGTGATAGGGGTTGGGGTAGTGATAGGGGCTGGGGTAGTGACATGGGTTGGGGTAGTGATAGGGGCTGGGGTAGTGATAGGGGTTGGGGTAGTGATAGGGGCTGGTGTAGTGATAGGGGCTGGGGTAGTGATAGGGGTTAGGGTAGTGATAGGGTTGGGGTGGTGAAAGGAGTAGTGATAAGGGTTGCGGTAGGCCTATTCGTAGCTGGGGGCAGGGAGTAGCAGTAGCAGGATGGGTAAGGGAGTAGAGATGGGGTGTTTGTTTTAAGGGAGTAACGGAAGCAGGTCAGTGAAGTTGATTGCTCTACGTGCGGTGAGAGTTTGTTCCAAGTGAAGGGGACGCGAGAAGGGAAATGGAACGACAGCGTGACTGGGCGCAGGGCGAGGGAGGCACAGATCGAGAGAGACTGTGAGCGTGGAGAACGGGATGGGACAGAGTAGTCAGAGATTAGAGAAGCACGATAGGGTGGGGCAAGACCATGGAGGGATTTAAATAATTAAAGAGCCGCGTGAGAAATGACGGCAATGGTAGATGTAGAAGACTGCTCTTGAACCGCCAGGTGGATAGCTGGAGTTCATGTGTGTCGACTCGAGTGGGAGGGTAATAGGAACACAGTTAAGAGGGCTTTCATTGCATTCAATCAGCCTCTGGCCTGGCCTCAAGTAAATGCTGGAAAAAAAGTATTTTTATCTGAATTAGATTTTCTGTTTTAATTATATTCAGGAATGGGTGCGTAAGATCGCGATTTCAAACCTCACCTCGGGGCCACCCTTCCGAATGTTACCTCTAAGGCCGACAAAATTAACAAAACTTTGTTGGTAGAATAAAATAAAACAAAAATAATAATCCAGCAATGGAACTGCTGGCTGGTTCACCAGTTCCACTGCTGGATTATTTTTTCCGCCCGAGGACGACCGCTTGTGTTGCAATTGAAACGTCGTGATATATTATTATTTTCTACCTACGTGACTTTACCAAAATAACCAAAGAGTATGGATTCCTGCAGTCACGAAAGCTTCAAATCAAGATATGTTGGAAGAGTTACCAGTGGTTGTCCGATGGATAAACTGGCTCCTGACATATAAATGTGGACTTTCCTCCACTGACAAATGACAGCCCTGCAATGAATGCTTATTGCAGTAGTTGAGCGAGTGGGAATGTATGTTGAACTTCCTTCGCACCGTACGTAGCCAACCGTGCTAATCAGAATGTACTGCCCTCTGCTGCGAAGACCAGAGGTCAATTGAAGCCATCTCAGGGGTAGATCTGATATACCCGTTTCCGTGGGCCATTCAACTTACCATCGAAGGGTAGCACTGCTCTCTGATTTGCACGGTTGGCTACATATGGCGTGAAAGAAGTTCAACATAGACACATACATAGTGCTCTGCAGGGAGAGATGCGAATGAATAGCTACAAGTCGGAATAACATTGCAAAAAATTCCCCGGGCCCCCAAAAAAAAAATTCCATTGAAGCCCAAGAGTTAGTGCGGCGAGATGCCCCCGGGATCGCCGGTACCCGTGGTGATGCAGGAGAAGTCGCTGGCGCTGAGGCTGCGCGTGCTACGCCCCGCGAACTCGGGCGGCGAGGCGCAGGTGATGTCGTGCACCGACGCGTTGGTGGAGTGCAGCCACGACACGAGCCACTTCATCTTGCAGTCGCAGTGCAGCGCGTTTCCCCGCAGGTCGCTGCACAGACCGCGGCCCACGCGCGAGTCCGTCAGGGGTCTCAGAAGGTAGGCAAGGAGGTGGTGGGGGGGGGGGGGGGGTTCCCGGCCTGCTAAGGCTTACGCTGCCAGAGGTGGCTCGTGAAACCTGCCCTCTTTGCTTGATTTGTTGTCGTCGTCGTCGTTGTCGTCGCGTGCCTGCATGCGGGGGTCGTGTGTGCGTCACCGTGATGGCAACGCACGAACGCTGCGACCAAACAGGCTCGGGATGCGCCCAAATCTCGTCAGATCTCCGAAGCTAAGCAGGTGGGGGCCTGGACAGCGCTTGGATGGGAGAGCCACCGTGCACACAAGCAGGTGTTGTAGCCTGCTGAAGGTCGGCAGTGACGGCAGTGCGGCAATATCCATTGTTGCACTCCCTGACTTCACTGAGCCACACCGTGACCAGCGATCCAAAAACCTCCCTGGCTAACGCAGCGTGGGGAGGAGGCCGTCGTTTAGTGGTGGGGTTTTTGTTATCACAGGCGTGGACGGGGGGGGGGGGGCGGGGGTCATGCTTGGGGTCATTGTCCGGTCCCTTACTTGAATGTCGCGTGTGTGGGAGGACACTGGAACACCCGGCACATCACGTTACGTCGATGGAAATACTATTGTTTACGCGCACTGATTTTTGCATGCCAATACCGCAGGCAGGTTAATAGAACGGACAGAACTGTGCCGATTTAGACGGAGTAAGTGAGAAACAATACAAACGAGATGGGGGGGGGGGGGAATGAGAAGAAAATAAATAACTTGTTATCGAGTCTCCAACCTGCACGGTCACCATCGCTGGTACCGCTGTGAGGGTGAGTTACTACCTGCCGAGTGAAAGCCCACGGTTAGGGAACAATGCTCCAAAGACCATACATCATTTCGATCAACAGCATACTTGCTGGACTGCCACCTCCTAAGCCCCGTAAGGTTGCCACAAGGTAGCGCCGCGTGCCACCGCCAAGGTAACGTGCGTTCGCGGTGCTTGAAGATGGAAATGTACTTACACGTCCGTCATGGCATCCAACCCTTTGAACACATCGCGTGGAAGCGACCTCAGCTTGTTGTTTGCCAGAGACCTGCGCGGACATCACACGCCAGCGACGGGGACTCATGTGGGTCGCGTGAACGCAGCGTGCTCGGCTGTGCGTTATAAAACAGCAACAATAACAAAAGCGTCGAGAATGTCCCATGCCTCGAGAGTGTCATTAGTTTTTTAACAAGGGCACCCCGCCCCATGCCATGCGTTTATGGGACCACTTTATGTCGGCAGTTAAAAAAAAAAAGAGTAAACAGCCATCACAGCACAGTGTGCAATAATATTGTGCGTGCCTTGCGGCTGCGCAGTGCGAATGAAACACATCATGGGCAAAACGCAATTTTAGAGAAATTGCCCGCGCCGAGCTGCACCAAGCAACATTTTATGCCCCGTACTCAAGTGCCATTAACAATTAAAATAAATTAACAACTTACATAACATGGCGATATTAGGCGAACGCAAATTGTCTCTGGCAAGCTTCGAAAAAAATCCATTTGCGTAAGTTGACAAAGACCAGAAGCTAAAAGCTTCCAGGAAGAGACGTATGGACGTTCACCCTCCATAGGAACTGCGGTCAGGCATACGCAATGGGGAATATATGTCGAAACGCGTAGCAGGCGCTACGGAATCAATCGGCGTCTTTATCTTTCGACCAGTGAGATCCCGGTAAGCATTTTGCTATTTTTTTAGCAAGCATTGATTGGAAAAATCAGAAATCGGTGTTGAAACGGTGCCCAAACTGGACGCAGCATCGGCCTTGCCTCTGCTTAATGCCACAACCGTTCTCACGTTTGGGCTTAATTTCAAAGTGTATGAAAATGGCAAATACACCCATGGAGGCCAGCGCCACTGGGAAGCCCACATCGTTGATCGCTTCAGATCAAACCAACATGCACAGCTCTTTACAAGCAAGTCTCCCACACCCCCCTCCCCCTGCCCCCCTTCCCACCTCTTGTGTTCATTATACGAATGTCCAGCCCTGTGAAATTGCAGCGATATGCTCTATGATTAAGGAAGAGCAAGACCGGTATCGTATGGCGCTATAAGTTTCCTGTTGGAACTGTGCCGTTCGTCGGAAACCGTGAATATGAAGCGAATTAAAATATCGCGAATAATAAACAAAACATAACGAGCAAATAATTTAATAAATGGCCCGCGCGCGAACGAGAGTATGGCGGGTTCGCTCACAGGTGGGTGAGCGTCTTCAATCCGCGAAACGCGTTCCTGGAAATCTCGTCGATGATGTTGTTCTCTATGAAGCTGAAAGGTGGAGAAACAAGAGTCGACAGGATACAACCACCCGAGATGCATCGTGCGCGTTGAACTTCTTTCGCACCGTACGCTGCCAACCGTGCTAATCGGAGGTGCGGGATCCAGGTAGCCGTTTGTGATCGAAGCACGTGAATGCAAGTGCGCTGATTCGATGGTTTCGGTGCGTACTATCTGCTGTGTATGACGTATGGTTCAGAATCCGTGGTAAATTTACGTACAAAATTGGAGGGGAAAACTGAACACCTTGCGAAGAGGCATGCGGAGATGCATGTCTATAATCGCACTTAGGCACCGAAAGATTGACAACGTGAATTAATAGCGAACATACGCAGGTTAATGTCATCGTTAGAACTGGTGAGAAAAGTTAGTAGGCCTGGACAGGACGAGTCACCAGAAGGGATGATAACCAACGGTCAAGAGTAATGATGGAGTGGCAGCCACGGAATGGAATAAGTCTCAGGGGCCGTCTACCGAAGAGATGGAGCAACGAAATCAGCTCGTGTGCAGGCGGCATGTGGACTGCTACGTTGCGGGACCGCGAAAGGTGGCGGAGGCTTGCGAGGGCCTTCATCCAGCAGTGGACTGACCACGGCCGGTGATGACGACGGCGACCCGGCGCTTGCGGGATTCATACACGCGCACATACTCACAGGTAGTGAAGTTTGACGAGGCCTTTGAATGCGTCGTCTCTTATGGAAAAGCTTGACGATCCCAGGAGGCTGCAAACGCCACGTGTCACACGCCATCGCACGGGTCACACCGATGCACTGCGCTCCAGTTGCTGACGTGTCGATCACTGGCGTCGTCGGCTCGGTGCGATCCCCAGAGCAGAGGAGTAAAATTACTCCGGCGTTACCATTAACGCGAGACTCGTTCCGAAAAAAAAAATCGATTGCTGGTGGAGTGCAGCTACTTGCACAGAGTTATTGGTGTGTCTCTGTGTAATGAAATGCTCGCTGTAACAATTACATTTGACTGGAGGATCCGGGAAGATAAAAAAAATAAATATTGTAGAAAATTAAGTCCATAAATGCCAAACTCCACCAATGTAGATGGCTGTCATAAAAATACCAATTATTCAGGTATTAAATCAAACAACCCGGTTAAATATTAATGCAGCAGCTGCATACCACAACGTTGGGTATACTTGTCGTGTAGCCAGCCAGTAACCCATGGTTGCAGTCCCTTTGTCACCTTTATAATGCCAAGTGGTATGGCGAAAAGTGCCCCCTTCTGCTACAAAGTGGACCCCGGCTATAATACGTCGCGACATCCAGAAGAGTAGGCAATTGTGCACCGGTTTAGACACCCCCAGTTTATCCAGCTCGTTACTCACCAGCGCCGTGAATTTGTGGTACGTGGTGAAGGTGGGGAGCAGTGGTGCAGTGGATAGAGCACTGCAATATGAAACCTAGTGACTCGGTTTTGATTCCCGGCCACGGCTAATATCAATAGCGAGTGATGTCTGAACCGGTCCTGGTTGCCTGCCCACCCACCTACCCACCTTAATCAAACCTCACTGACTAGTGTGGTGAAGTGTGGTCAAACGACTCCCATGACTGCCACGGCGTGGGAGGCCTTCATTCAGCGGCTGTAAAATATATTGTTTTACTATTATTTCAAATCGGCTATTTTTTTTTTAAATAAATATTCGTCCCTTTCTTCTTTGCAGAACTGGATTGGCATCTCACATTATTAGATTATTTAGCTGCAATAAATGTTCACGTGATAAGCCACTTGGTTCAGCTATCATTTGTGGCCAGGTCACTTCTGAAAATAGCTAAGTATCCCAGTGGACCTTAACTGGTAAAATCTAAAACGCAGAGGAATACAGTGGAATTGTTGGAGTGAGAGGTCCCAATGCGGCTAAAAACTGTAACGCATTTAGAATTGTCCTCCTTACATGTTGTCCGGTTGTTCCACGCCTGTGATCGAGCACTGCGGAGGCAGCGAGGGTTTGTTTGGATCGGACACGTGTTGAGAAACTCCCTTCTCGTCGGCGCTGAGGGTGCCATGCCCCGGCTCCCCAGGAGAACGCAGTCGAGTAAAGTGCGGACTAATGCCACCTGTCCCTTCTGCCCGGGATAGAGCGTCGGCCGCTCGCACCCGTGGGGTTTCGCCGCACGTCGTACAAACACGCTCGCTTAATTGGTTGCAACAACAAAAAAAACATCTTAATGCATGCAGGACTGCAGACGCTCGGTCAATTGTTAGTGCCAGCTCACCCCCCTGGCTGCCTTCCAGCTTTGTCTGTGGCTCCTCAGCGATTTTGAGATGCAATTTGCATGAACCACGCTATTTAAAGCGACACATTATGATCATCGTATTACCGCGTGCTGTTCGGCATGATGTCTGACGTTTCGCTCCACGTCCTGGGAGCTTCTTCAGGAACGGAAAGCTCCCGGCATGTGGAGCGAAACGTCAGACATCGAGTAAAAGGGCACGCGGCACACCCCGGAAAGTGCATCGGAGAGCTCTGCAGCGCAACCGCAAAAAAAACAACGCCAGTCATAACTTAAATTTCAATATATATTTAAATTTATATTATTATAAGCCATGCAATTCTCCTGCCATCTTTAAATATTCTTACTAATTTATTATTTGAGCCTTGCACTCGACCTGCATATAGATCAATATACATAAATAAAATAAAAACGGTTTTGAAGAGACGGAGCTCTTTAAAACTCTGCACCGTACATCTTGGTATAACTCACAGAACGTGAAGGGTTGGCAAGTGAGAAAATGTCCCGTTGGCAATCTGATTGAAATCGGCATCGTCAAAGGTTCTGAGAGAAAAGAGGAGAAAAAAAAACACGGGCAAATGTAAGAATGATTAAAAAATTGTTTTGCTTGCAATGTAAAATTCAATATTGTAAATCCTTGGACGTGCAATCCTGGGGTACATTCCCTTGGCAGAGCAGAAGGAAGAAATTTAAATAAACTCGGATGATTTAGGGATATATATATGGATTTTAAATACGTAGGTTGTTTGAAGAATATTAAAATGGGCTGTGTTTTCAAAAGAGTTTGATCATTTTTTTAAATGAGTTGAGTTCTCCCCCCCCCCCCCCCCCCCCACCACCACAATCATTGCAGGGTTTTACATACACACATATCCCATTGTAAGTCTCGTTAAATGGGTTCAGTGTTGCATACAACCAAAATAAATGCTACATTCAGTTAAGCAGTGACTAATTTCGGGAAAACGTTGCAGCCATCTGTGCTGTTGACTTCCTGCCCTGTTCAGGTCAATTCTAAATAATTTCTTTTTTTTCTGTCCGCCTACACGGCTGGCTGTCTCATCTCAATAAAATAAAAAATTCCCACTGTTGCTAGATGGCATCTCGCGATGCGGTGGTATTTGTACGCGACATCAATCCAAATTGCACGCATCACTGTGTAAAACGCACTTGTACAGAGTTTTTTTTTTAATAATCTCATGGAGCATGATGCGGCCATCAGTGGCCTGGTAAAATATGCAATGCAGTGTTAGTTGTTCAACAACCCATGACATTAATCAGCAGCGCATAATAACATTCGCAGAAATCCCTTTCATTAATCACGGATGGCACTTTTCCCTGTGACGGGGCCAATTACCGCACAATGCAACGTTACGCAAATGCACACCCACTGAACTCCGACGTTGTGGCTCGCAGCCTCGCATCACCGAAGAGCTGCTCGCACGTCTCTGCGTGCGTTCCCATGGCGACTTTAACTAGCGGGCTAAAAGCGCCCGCTCTAAATATAGACCACAAAAAAGGCGAGAATGACACCGCAATTCAACGTGCACGTAATACCGATTCCACAATTTTTTTTGCACCGCGCGAAAAAGAAAAAAAGCCTCCCAAATAAAATTTGCCACGTGCATTCTGCTTCTTTCAAACACGCCCGCGTCGAACGGTCGCAGCACGGCCCACGCCAAAAATAACCACACTCTTGTCAGGTCCCCCTAAAAACATCTCACCATAATAGAGTTACACAGGCGACGGTATGTGTATGTGCTCAGCTGGCCGATGCAGTGCATGCAGTGCGGTGTGTGCGCGCCCGAGACACTGCGGCGCTGGGATGCGGGGACGGCCCGCTCGTACGTACAAGGAGGTGGCATCGAGCGGGAGGTTGCGGGGCACGACGGCCGACTTGCAGATGACGGTGCCTTTCCCGCAGGAGCACTTGGGCCAGCATTTTCCAGGCGTCCTTTTCGTCGCGCACGACACAGCCAGCAGCAGCAGGAGCGCCGCGACGAGCAGAGGCCGCTGCATCCTCCCTGCGGCGGCGGTGGCAGCAGTGGCAGCAGCCTTCACCGCAGCGAGCTCGCACCTCTGAATCGATCACCGGGGGCTCCTTAATTAAGCGCCAGGGTTGCGGCGATTCCACCTGATTGGTCGTAACGGGGAGAGTGTGCGGCGGTTGCCTACAGAGACATCTGCACGGTGGCGCTCTGATGTCAGACGCGACGCCGCATATCGGCACTGCTTCTCTATTGCCTTTCCTTTCTCACGTCTCTCCTGCGCGCTCGCTCGCCCTGCCGCTCGCTCTCCGTCGCACTCTCTCTCTCTCTCACACACACAAACCCGCACTATAATTATAGCTCTTGCTATGCCCTCACAAACTGTGTTCTCTCTGTATGCCTGGCTCGATCAATTTTTCCTTTCTTTATTTGGTCTCTGCTAGTCTCCATCTGATTATTGGTCAGCCTGGCTTTTGATCTGTTCATCTCCCTCCCCTTTCTCTCTCGCTCTCAACCTCTCTCAATCCCCCCCCCCCCCCCACTCTCTCTCTCCTTCATATCATGAATAATTCATGCACATCTTGAGTCTGGCTTTCAACCAATAGCCAATTCTCACATTAGGAATTCTCTAAACATGAGGAAGATCAATTCTCATACATGGAACTGCTCATTTAAAACAATTGTACATTGCAAAACATTTTTTTGTAGAATTCCGTACATATTTAAGATAACGTATATTGTTTCGCAAAACATATATCCTTGACATCAATGGGCGTAGGCATTCCTTAAGGTATTGATATTCCACAGCTCCAGAATATTATCCCGTAATCCTGTGATGGCTTCGAGTGGGGCTTAATTGTCCCTCTGCGCAGCTAACGGTAAATGCGCTCACACTTAATGTCCGTGCTAATTAGAGCGCCGTCCCTCGCAGGCGAAGGGAACGCCGGCAGGCGTTGGAGTGCGTGCGGTGATGGAGTCTGCGGAAGCCACCCGCTTCCCCGTGACCGATAAATAATGCAGGGGGCGGGATTGGTGGCATTTTCAGAAGAGAAGGCCTTCAAGAGAGATGCCTGGCATGAAGCGAGTAGATCAACCGCTCTCGTTAAAGGTCAGTCAGTAGCCCCCCCCCCCCCCCCCCCGCCCACTAGCACAGGTTAAGCGGTCCCGGGGATATTTCCTTCTCTCTCAGCCAATAGGTAGTGCATTACCGGCGGCTAAGACCGTGATGCCCAACGCATGAGGCCATTGAAGACGGCTCTGGCTACAGGCTGCTTCCTGGGTGTAGAATCTCGTCGAAGGTTTGGCATGGAAGGCCACATTAACGTTTAGCAGCCCAGCGTGCCTATGTCATTGCCAATAAATGGTTTCCAACCATGATAAGCCATCCATTAGGTTACCCACTGGAATATCAGTCCATTAACTTTAATCAGAGCCAGATGCGAGCCCATCCAGTCTCTTTTCCCGAGGAAATAAAACTGGAACAAACTACAATTGTAGCGTTACGCCGATCACTACGTAGCAAAAAAGCAATACAAACTTGGAAACGAACCGTAAATGTATACACAATATATTTAAATATAGCAGCAGATGATGAAAGTTTGAGGAACACCCAGAAGAACGTGAGCTTTCCGTGGATAAAGACGCACGTGCACACATTATAAATCAACGCCACGGATGTGAAGGCAAGCTGTCTGCATCACTGCCCACAGAGCCATGCTGAGAGTTGGAACAAAAAAAATCCAGATTAATACACGTAGACTTTCGCGACCAATATTATTCATAATGAAGCTTTTTGGGTTAGATCACGTTATTTATAAATGTGTCGTAACCCTCCACCACCCGACACGGCCAATCAACAAAAAAGTGTCACATTGACAAAAGACAAATAGTTCACTACTTTAGCTCACCGGTGTGTTGAAGAGTGAATCCACAACATTTACAGTTTGAGTACGACGTTTCGCTGGTAATTACATCCAGCATCATCGGGCAATTCGCCAGAATGGTAAAGCCCTCACTTGCTCCCGGTCATAAATAGAGCAGCAGGATGACGTCATCATTTAACTCATTCAGGTGTAGTGATTTGAGGCGGAGGGGGGGGCGGTATTTTAATTATATAATCGATTGGTAATCAGTCAATGGTTATGATTAGTAATGAGTTGTAGATTAGTAATTAGTTGTAATGTGTGTTATTGTGATTATATGCTACGTTAGTAATCCGTTAATTAGTATGTGTTTCCCCTATAAGGAATTGTAATATGTATTATTTAATAATACGTTTCCAAGCCGCACTAAGCCTGTGGCTGTCAGAGCGATTAAAGTTATTTCTATTTCTCTCAATTTCAATGGATTCTCTAATTAGTCTTTGACAGTAATAATTAGTTTTACACAACACTTCAACTTTATCAAAATCAATTGAGTGTCCTTGTTGACAAACATGCTCTGCCACTGTCGACAGTTGTGTTTGAGATAATTTAATATTTCTTTGGTGTTCTTTTAGTCTTATGCTGATGTTACGTCCCGTCTGTCCAATATAGCATCTGCCACATAAACAATTAATCCGATATACACCTTCTGTTTTTCTAGACTTCATAATAAAGTAATCCCTTCTAAAAACGAACAATTTAAAAACAAAACCGTAATGAACTTGACTAACACTGTTTTAACCAGTGACATGATCTCTGTCCTTTCTAAAGGCCTTAACTTTGCCGTTACCCCACGCACAATTTCAGTGGATGAGGTAATTGCTGAGGTAGAATTAGCAGTACGACTCCTTCCACATAATGAGGCAGAGATGACTAGACACGAGGTTGCCAAAATAATTGAGAATAGCAAAGTTCCAAAAGTAAATATTAGCTCTAACGAAGCAAAAGCCTTAAGAGAGCTCCGTGTAATAAAGATATCCAAATCCTGGCAGCTGATAAAGGTCGCGCTACTTTAGTGATGTCACTGATAATAAAATTAGAAATTTACTAGAGGAAAGTACCTACATTAAAATTTAACGAGATCCAGCTAATACTTTAGAACGTAAGACTACTGCAATAATTTCAAATTGATTAATCCCTAAGAATGAGCAATACCAAATTAAGCCAAGGGCCTCAAAACCACCTAGACTGTATGGGCTACCAAAGATTCATAAAAAGGCATCCCATTACGACCCATGGTCAGTACAATTGGCTCTGCCACATATAAATTAGCAAAATATATAACTAAACAAATACAGCCCTACATCGGTAGGACATCTTCATTCATAAGAAATGTAGAACATCTTGTGAATGTGATTAAAGATATTAAACTTAATCCTAATGATATTCTGGTAAGCTTTGATGTGATTTCTCTATTCACTAAGGTTCCAGTGAACGAATCGCTTACATTACTTGATACACTAGAAAAGAATACAGGTTTACCAAAATATATTCAGAAACTTGCTGACCATTGTTTAAATAACACTTACTTCTTAGGGATGGGGATTTCTTTAAACAAAAGGAAGGAGCAGCAATGGGCTCTCCTTTATCTCCTGCTATAGCAAATCTGTACATGGAAAACTTTGAAATAAGAGCACTTGCCTCGAGCACATTAAAACCATCTTTTTGGTTTAGATATGTGGATGACACTTTGGTTGTCTGGCCACATGGTAAAGATACACTTATTGATTTTCTAAATCATCTCAATGCACAAAACCCAGCCATCCAGTTCACCATGGAAATGTAGGTGAATAACACACTCCCGTTCCTAGATATTTTGCTTGGACATGACCTAAACGGTAAAATAACACACAGCATTTACAGAAAGCAAACGCACACTGATGCAGATTCGCTGGATGATGATGCAGATTCGCATCATCATTCACCTCAGAAATCCTCTCTTATCAAGACGCTCATACATCGGGCTAAAACAATGTCAGATGGTGAAAGTTGAGTGAGGGAGATCAAACATGTTAAAGAAACATTACGACAGAATGGCTACAATAATACTCAAATTAACAGAGCACTGAATGCCAAATCACGATCGCAAAGCAACACTGCTGAAAGCGATCAAATTGTTAAAACAATTAAAATTCCATATATCTCAGGAGTAACTGAAGCATTTGGCGGGACCCCGGGGTCCCATCACTAACCCAGGGTTGGGAAAAACCGCGTAGCGACACGAGTCTTGCCTTACCGACAACAAAACTAGTGTCAATCGATTGGCCTCGTCGAGAGCTACTCGGGGCACAAAGTTTCGTAAAAAGTTGAAAAATTACATAAACACGTTAAATTCACTGCGGGGGCGGGCTCGCCTTGGCAAAGAAGCTGAGGATCGACGGCTGACCGGAGGGCGCTGTCGCCGCGCGCGACTGCGGCGGACGCCCCCCGGGGCTCGCGTTTGGCCGGTGGGGTGGCGCCCATCGTGTTGATCGCCGCCTGCTGCTGCTGGCACTTGTTGGCGCGAGTCTGGGCGGGCGGCGCGTTGCTGTCGGGATCACGAGTGGGCGGACTGAAAAATAATTATTATTATTGACCTGATTTTTGCGGGACCCCAGGGTCCCGCCAAATGATTCATATTACTGACAAATTAGCCCGTGTCTTGCAAAAGCAAAACATTACAGTAAGATTTGGTACAGTACACAAAATAAATAAAAAACTAGTATCTTGCACTAAAGACGAATTACCTAAATTATCAACAGAAGGTATATATCGGATTAATTGTTTATGTGGCAGATGCTACATTGGACAGACGGGACGTAACATCAGCATGAGATTAAATGAACACCAAAGAAATGTTAAATTATCTCAAACACAACTGTCGGCAGTGGCAGAACATGCTTGTCAACAAGGACACTCAATTGATTTTGATAACGTTGAAGTGTTGTGTAAAACGAATTATTACTGGCAAAGACTAATTAGAGAATCCATTGAAATTGAGAGAAATAGAAATAACTTTAATCGCTCTGACAGCTACAGGCTTAGTGCAGCTTGGAAGCGTATTATTAAATAATACATATTACAATTCCTCATAGGGGAAACACATACTACTTAACGGATTACTAACGTAGCATATAATCACAATAACACACATTACAACTAATTACTAATCTACAACTCATTACTAATCATAACCATTGACTGATTACCAATCGATTATATAATTACAATACCCCCCCCTCTGCCTCAAATCACTGCACCTGAATGAGTTAAATGATGACGTCATCCTGCTGCTCTATTTAAGACCGGGAGCAAGTAAGGGCTTTACCATTCTGGCGAATTGCCCGATGATGCTGGATGTAATTACCAGCGAAACGTCGTACTCAAACTGTAAATGTTGTGGATTCACTCTTCAACACACCGGTGGGCTAAAGTAGTGAACTATTTATCTTTTGTCAACGTGACACTTTTTTGCTGATTGGCCATGTCGGGTGGTGGAGGGTTACGGACACACTTATAAATAACGTGATCTAACCCAAAAACCTTTATTATGAAAAAAATCCAGCTACTTAAAAGTCGCATGCGCTTCTGCGGCCGTCTGGAATGCTCTTCCTTCCGATATTAGGAAGCCA